CTCACTGACCTGAGACTTGGCTATGTAGACTAGGCTGATTTAGAACTTAGAGCCATGCTGCTGCCTCCCATATGCACCATCACACTAGACTGAAAACTTTTTAAGTGGTATTAGGAATAGAACTCTTAGCCTTGCATGTGCTAGGCAAGGGCTCCACCACTGAGCTATAGTCCAGCTTAGTTCTTTATTCTCATTTGTTGCATTTCTGAGTTCTATGTCTGAATAATTTAGTAGTACCTTATTGGTGAACATTTAAATTATATTGTTTTTCTCTTTGATGTTCAAAATGCTTATAATGTATTGTGTTACAGTTTTCATTTCTCACATACACTTCAAATGCTTTAGACTGACTTTAGTACATATTTTCAAAATGCTTTTTGGTTATCTGTGCTGAGGAGTTGAACCCAGGGTTCCATGCCTGTTAGACAGGTGTTCTACCACTGAGCTACATCTCCAGTTCTGGTCCATATTGGTATTTTTTATTTTGACAAATATAAAATTGTCTTTCATAAAAATACAGTTCACAAAATATAGGTCACCAGCAGATAAAAAACTTCTATATGTTCATGAAGCTATTCAAATATTTTTAAAATCTTTCCTAACTGAATCTTTATATATGTTTTTATTGTCAACTCTGTTAATATTTTTTCATTTTTTTATGTTAGATTTTTACAAATTGATTTAAAGAAGCTCTTTATATATTGGGGAAACTAACTTGTTTTAAAAGTTTATGTTTAGATCTTATTAGTTGCAGATTTTTACTACATGTAAATGTAGTTTTATGTAGTTAAATTTGTCATTTTACTTTGTTGAAGCTGTTTAGTTTTATTTCAAAATTAATAGTACTTAAAACATAAATATATGAAAATTTAAAAAGGGTCATTTGAATGTATAAACCCAAGGTGTACATGATCTATGGTATCACTGAAATTAATTATATAATATAGTTTTCCTTTGTTTCATACTTTTGTATGAAGTTAATGTAGTTTACTTTAAAATAAATGTTTTTTCATGAAGTAATAATTTACCTTTCTGCATTTTATAGATGTCTTCCAGGATGTCAGATCTGTCAGCAGCTTGTCAGGTACGTTTAGTATGCGTTGCAGAAATTTTGAAAAATAACTGATATATGAGAAGCACTCACTAGGTATAACACAGTGGGATAAAATTCATATGTTTTAGAGTAGTTTTAGGTAGCATACTATCACTCTTTCTGCTCCTGCCACAGGCAATCATTTATCACCCTTTGAAAAGATAGGTTAGTTTGCATTTTCTTGAATTTTGTGTGCCTGGAGTCGTGTAAATACATTCATTGTGGTGTTTGGCTTATGTCACTGGCAGCATGATTTTGTGTTTCATCCATATCGTGTCTATTCAAAGTTCATCTCATTCTATAGCTGAATATTATTTCTCTTATATACCACCATTTATAAATGGCTTACACTAAATTTTTCATTATCATATACTATTGTACTTATTCTATTCATAGTGTGTGGTAAAAAACAAACAAAAAACCCTAGAATCAAAAAGTCAAACTTTTTATGTTCACTTTAATCCAGTTTTTCAGTAACTTAATTTTTAAATTTACTTTCTGATTAGCTTACAAATGAGTAGGTTTCTTTACAGCATTTTCAGACATGCACAGTTTGGGTTATTTCCCCATATCCCTGTTCCCCATGCCCACATTAGCCCTTCCCTTGCCAGTCTTTCCTCTGTTACTGTCGTATCACAGAGGTTCTGTTACCCTTCCCACCCCTTTCCAATCACTCTTAATTTTTTGAAAGGTCTCTCTTTTAATTTAATTTAGTTTAATTTATTTATATTTCAAGACAGAATTTCCCTGGCTGTCCTGGAACTCACTTTGTAGACCAGGCTGGCCTTGAACTCACAGATCTGGCTGCTTCTGCCTCCAGTAGTGCTGGGATTAAAGGTGTGTGCCACCGTTGCCTGGTGAAAGGGTGCTATATGATCTTGCCTTTTCTCTTTAGGTGTTTCTGTGGTCGTCTGGTCAAGCAACATGCTTGCTTTACTGCAAGTCTTGCCATGAAATACTCAGATGTGAAATTGGGTGAACATTTTAATCAGGCAATAGAAGAATGGTCTGTGGAAAAGCACACGGAACAGAGCCCAACAGATGCTTACGGAGTCATCAATTTTCAAGGGGGTTCTCATTCCTACAGAGCTAAGGTATATCACTTATTTGATTTATTTTTTATTTCAATTATCTTGTAATATGTGTAGCAATAAAAAAGTATGGTTCAGTGCGTATATTAAAGTTATTTATATAGGTTGACAAATGCAGAATTATTGTATTTTTATAGATCAAATCATTTATCATTATAAAAAGTCTTATTTGAATTCTGTTGAAAGAATCTGTTTTCTGAAAGGAGAGCTAAACCTCCTTTCTTTCCTTTCCCTTTTAAACTTTTCTTAAGGTAAAAGACATCATTTTCTAGGCATTGTGACATGCGCCTGTCACAGTGTTACTTGAAAGCAAAGTACGAGGATCATTTGAGCCCACTTTTGGCATCAGTCTAGGTAGTATAGGAAAAGCCTGTCTGCTAAACAAAATCAGTTCCCCCAAAATATCTTTTTAGTAGCTTGTATAGATTATTTTTTAAAATTAAATCTTTGTATTTGAGTTTAACTATCATAGTATTAGCTGTCTGCTTGTCTCCCTATTTTTCCTTATCCCCGTCTTATTTTTGTTAAATAATTTTTTTGTTATTGGCTTCCTTTATTCATACATTATCTGTTCTTTAGTGTGATCTTGTAATAAACACAGTTTTTATAACTTGCTCTCTGTTAAAAATTAACCATCTCTCATTTTTACCACTCTACAATGTAAGAACTTTCAGAATATCTGTAACTGCATTATTTCTCTTATGACTTATATGCATTTGTTGGCAGGAATTTAAATTCTGTGTATTTAAGAGTTCTGTAATGTAATTGTTAATCATTTACATTGACATTTTATAAACTTTGCATTGTTCTTCCTCCTCCCTGTCTTAGGAAAAGTAGTGCATATTCATCTCCAAGTTTTCCTCTTTAATCCCATAAGTTCTTACTGCTTTTTAGCTGACTAGTTCCTAAAACATATGTTCTTTGTCTTTGTGTACTCATAGTTAAACAGGGCAGTAAGTGCTATTGATGAATTAATTAATAATTGAGTATAAATAGATAAATGGATATCTATGTTGATTTGTGTGAGTTATAGTGTTAGTACTATGTATCACAAAAATTTTTCAAAATTTAAAAGCCATTTGCTATTTTATATTTCTAGGAATGTAAATGTTACCTAATTTATGTAAATTTTTTGTTGGTGGTTTTTTGTTTTTTTGAGATAGGGTTTCCCTGTATAGGCCTAGCTAGCTTAGAACTCACTCTGTGTAAGGAGTCTTTCTCTGTCCTGCCAGCCAGCTCCTAAATAATGACAGGGAAACTTGTATTAATTATGAAAGCTCGGCCTTTAGCTTAGGCTTGTTTCAACTAGCTCTTTTATAACTTAAATTAACCCATTTATATCAATATATATTCTATCATGTGGTATTACCTGTCTTTCCTCTTGTACCTCTTGTTTCCTCTCTGTGTCTTCTGATGTCTCTCATGTACCTATAGTCTTCATCCTCTTTCTTTCCCGAGAAATCTGGCATAACCTCTCCCCCAATGCAACATATCTTTTGGCTTCCATTTTAAAGTTAAGACATTCTTAAAATATATAGATTGCTTTACTTTAACAGTTCCTTTCATAATCCAGTGTCTCTCAGCAGCTGCTGTTATCTCATCAGCATTCAAAAAATTTAAAGTCTTGAAAGCACCATATAGGATCCAGATGCCCTGTGCATTTTCACCCTTACATTGCGCATATGCATATGTATAAAATTTTAATATACATTATTATATGATATATATTATTACTTTAATATATATTACTTTACTCTTTCTTTAAAGACTTTATTACTATTTTTAACCTTTTTTTTTCCCCTATGACTGTCTATACTCATTTTTTATTGTACCTGTTGTAGAGGTTTTCTTGGTTTGGACTGCTTTGCTGTACATCTGCAGCCTTCTCTGACTGTGTGTGCCAAGCCTTAAACCTGCTTGCTGCGTGGCTCTGAGCTGGCCACTGGCTCTGTTCTGCTCAGGTCTGTGAGAGCCAAGCCTTATGTCTGCAGCACCCGCTGGGAGCAGCATCTCCAGCTCTGGGAATTTGCTGAGCCTGTGCTGTTTGTGCTTAGCGCGATAGCTGCTCCAGTGCTCCCTGGTCAGCAGCCACCCTCTGAGTCGCAAGCACTGGGTCACTAGGAAGTCGGGTGCTGCTTTTTTTTTTTTTTTTTTTTTAAGTTTTCTCAGGCCTTACGTGGAAATGTGTGCCTGAACTTTGGGCCCCATATGTAACAAGTCTTTCTCTGTCCCACCAGTCAGCTCCCAAATAATTATACAGAGACGTATATTAATTATGAAAATGTAACTTTTAGCTTAGGCTTGTCTCAACTAGCTCTTAGAACTTAAATTAACCCATTTATATTAATCTATTTTCTGTCACATGGTGTTACTTCTCTTCCATCTGATACCTCCTGTTTCCTTCCCATGTCTCCTGGCTTCTCCTTCATGCCTATTATCCTCCTCTTCTTCCTTTCTTTCCCCAGAAATCCAGCCTATACATCCTGCCTAGCTATTGGCCATTCAACTTTTTATTATACCAATCACAACAGTACACCTTCACAGTATACAAATATCCCACAACAACTCTGTAGACTGGGCTGGCCTCGAACTCCCAGATATCTGCCTGTATCTGTCTCTCAAATGTTAGGATTAAAGGCATGTGCCACCAACCCTAGGCAAGTAGATTTTTTTGAATAACAGATAATGTTGCATTATTAAATCTCTGAACATTGTTATTTTGGCCCTTTGTTCGTTTTAGTATGTGAGACTGTCATATGATACCAAACCTGAAATCATTCTGCAACTTCTGCTTAAAGAATGGCAAATGGAGTTACCCAAACTTGTTATTTCTGTACACGGAGGCATGCAGAAATTTGAGCTTCATCCAAGAATCAAGCAGTTGCTTGGAAAGGGTCTTATTAAAGCTGCGGTTACAACTGGAGCTTGGATTTTAACTGGAGGAGTAAACACAGGTAATATGAACACTATCAGTTTTATTAAATATATTTGTCAGTCTTTCATATCAGTTAGGCATTTGAAATAATAAATTATAAATACATTTGATTCTTCTATTAATCTATAATCCTTGGTAATATCACTGGTAAAAATAACTTAATCTGCTTGGTTGTCATTCAGGCCATTAAAATACACACTTTAGAGCAAAAGTTGGCAAAGTTAACCTGTATGCCAAATCCAGTTTAGTTAATCTTTATTCGTATGGATAAAATTTTATTTGAACATAACCACATTCATTGGTTTATCTGTTTGTGCTACAATAGCAAAGGTGAATAATTGTAACAAAGAGTAGTAAGTTAATAATCAGCACAGTCAAAATGCTTACTGCTTGTACTTTGCAAAAATATTTGCTGACTCTACTGTAAAGCAAAGTGTTATCATTTTCTGACTACTGATAGACTGGTAGAAGAATGATAGTCTCCTCCTTTGGTAGAGGTAAAGGCGTGTCCTTTGCCAGCAAGAGAGATGGCTCAGTAGGTAAGAGTACTGGCTGCTCTTGCAGAGGATGAATTTTGTTTCCAGCACTCACATGGCATCTCACAGTTGTCCAGGTCCAGGGAATCTGACACCTTCTTTTGGCCTTGTCAGGCACAAGGGACGTATGTGGTTCACATACATACATGCAGGCAGACTTGTATGCACATAAAAATAAAATTGTGGAAAAAAATGGCCTTCAAAAATTAATTTTTTATCTATTATTTCCCTTTCATTCAAGATCTTTTGTGTAATGTTTAAACTTTGAATTGAAGGAGGATGGGTTAATTTTAATGATTAAAGTGAAACATAATTATTTATTTAAATCACCTTAAGTATCTCATTGATTCATTATTGATAACTATTTATTGAGCCTCATTGTTATGCATTCTTTGAGCTCTAGGATATATATTGTTCTTTAAAATAGACACTTTCAGTATTATAGTGGGGATATGTATGCAGTAGGTGGATAATTTAGATGTGTATATATAGTATATTAGATGACCAGTGCTATGCAGAAACATGGGATAAAGAAGTACCATCTCACAGAATGATAGACTACTATATCTGTCTCCTTACATTACCCGTACCTGAGAAAAACCACCTTTAAAGAGAGTTACTGTTTATTTTGACTCATGGTTCTAGAAATGTCAGTCTGCCATGGTGGGAAGAGCATGGCAGGGTAGAGAAGTTCATGCTATATTGGCCAGGAAGCAGGGAGGTGGAAATATAAGGAGCAAGGACATGTCCCTAGAGAGCTGCTTCCTTCAGCTTGGCCCTACCTCCTCCCTTCATGACCTCTAAATAATGGCATTGTACTATGAATCCATTCATCACATCAGAGCCTCCCTGATCAAATGTGTCTGGAAACATCAGACACCCATACCTGACTGAGCTTTATTAGTCTCTTCACTTTGCAATTCAGTCAAGTTGACAAGAGTAAGCAGATTTTTAATGATAGGATGACATTTCAAGAAAGATGAAAGGAAACAAAGAAACAGAAAAACTTAGAGCAGAGCACTGAGAGATGAGAAAAATCACTAGTGTATTGTAACATAAGGGGAAGTAAGCAAGGAATGTTGGTCAGAAGTTCTTGGGACATGGTAAAGCATGGTGATATGGAAGCGCAGTGGAGCACAGACTGATAACTTTTTAAGGTCTTAAAAGCCATTACAAACATTGTGTCTTTGCTTCTTGAATAAGAAGTGAAGGTTTCTTAAGGTGCTAATTGGTAAGAACAAAGATTACTTGATTGTGTTTTGAAAATGGACTATAAGCAAGGAAGGCAGTGGGAAAAGATCAGTGAAGATGTTATTTCCTATGTTTTATATGAAAGAGGGGATCTAATATGTTAAAAGAAGCAAACTAAAAGATACATCAGTTGGTTAGGACTAGGCCTACCTACCAGTGTGATAGGATTCAGTTTACATGTGTTTTGAACAGTTGCAGTGAATTTGATATTGTGGGATTTTGTTTTGTTAATCTATTTGGTTATTTTACATTTTTTGTAAGCTTGGCTTAGGATCTTACAGCCTTAGAATCTTCTATTTAAAGAAACATCATAAATTGTAATGTTAGAAGGTAAATACAGGGTTTTTCTAATGGTGAATAAATTTTATATGAACAGGTGTGGCAAAACATGTTGGTGATGCCCTCAAAGAACATGCTTCCAGATCATCTCGAAAGATTTGCACTATTGGAATAGCTCCATGGGGAGTGATAGAAAACAGAAATGATCTTGTTGGGAGAGATGTAAGAATGCTTTTTGTATGTCTTAAATTTGAGCTTAAACAGAAATAATGTTGGCCGACTTGATAGGCTATACTATACTTTCATATTAAGTTTAAAACAAAAGTTCCAGTGGCCTTTTTCTGATCCTTTGGAAAATGCATTTATCAATATAAATGCTTATAATAGTGTTGGTACTTTTTGTTTTCTGTCTTTCATGTAGAATGTTATTTTAACATGTTTTCTATATCATATTAGTATTTGTAATTGATTTTTTTGTTTGTATTTTGAGAGCCCTGGCGTGCTAGAACTTGCTCTGTAGACCAGACTGGCCTCGAACTTAGAGATCGGCCCTCTGTTTATAACATTAATGATTAATTTTGTCATTAAGATTAGGAATCAGATTTTATTTGAATAGGTTGAAGATGTGAATTGGTTTATAGATATTCATCACAAGCCTATTAAAATAAAACTAGCTGGGCATGGTGGCACAGGCCTTTAATGCCATCATGAAGCAGTGGAGGCAGAGGCAGGCCAGTCTCTGAGTTCAAAGCTAGCTTGATCTATGTGGTAAGTTCCAGGCAAGCTGGGACTATATAGTGAAATCCTGTCTCAAAAAACAAAACAACAACAACAACAATAACTGAATTATGGAGATCATTTTTGAGTGTTATTAAATTTCTAATGTCAGCTTGAAATGGTTGTATTTATGCTTTGGAAAATAACACTATCATATTTTGCTGTTTTCTTATTGTCTTCTGTATTGTACTTTACTCACTAAATAACCTTACAGTGTATTAGCACTGTATGTATACTTCCATACTGCTCCATTTGCATGTGATGATAAAAAGCATAATTTTGCAGAAAGTAGGAATATGTAATTATGTGGTTCAATCTGTTATTCATCTTCAAATACTTAAAAGCTTATGCTTTTTCTTCATATCTAAATGAAAATAGAATGATACCTTTTGTGGGTCACTTCAGAATTTAACTTACGCTGTATTACATTCAGCTGCCTTCCACCGTCTCTTCTTTTGCTCTTGTTTAGGTGGTTGCTCCTTATCAAACCCTATTGAATCCCCTGAGCAAATTGAACGTTCTAAATAATCTCCACTCCCATTTCATATTGGTGGATGATGGCACTGTTGGGAAGTATGGGGCAGAAGTCAGACTGAGACGAGACCTTGAAAAAACCATCAATCAGCAAAGAATTCATGCTAGTAAGAAGTTCACAGATTTGTTACTGTTTAATTATTCAAAGCTGTATTAATAGCCAGCAGCATACTTGAAAAGTAGCATGCTCTTTCAAGTAAGTACACCTTTCTTTACATAGCAAGAAAACCTACAAAGCATCTAAAAATGGCTGATCTTAAACAAAATGGCACGACCTAAGAAAAGACGTCTCAAGCCAAGTTGCATACTTAGGTTTCAAGGCCAAATCAAAAAACAAACAAACAAACAAACAAACTTTTGTTTGTTTTTAAACTTTGTTGCTGTTGTAAACCCCTATAGCTCAAAAAAGTACTTAATAACTAACAGCCTTAATGTGTGGTTATTATTATTATTATTATTATTATTATTATTATTATGGTTTTCTTTTTTTGGTTTTTCGAGACAGGGTTTCTCTATGTAGCTTTGGCACCTTTCCTGGAACTCACTCTGTAGACCAGGCTGGCCCCGAACTTACAGAAATCCACCTGCCTCTGTCTTCCGAGTGCTGAGATTAAAGGCATGCGCCACCAACACCCGGCATGTGTGGTGATTCTAATATGTATTTCAACATTCAAGATAGTGATGTAGCTGTGGTGTATGCCTTTAATCCCAGCACTTTGGAGGCAGAGGCAGGCTGATCTTTGTAAATTTGAGGCCAGCCAGGGCTATACAGAGAAACCCTGTCATGAAGAAAAAAGGGGGAAAAAGGGGTGGGGGTGGGGGAGTAGGGAGGCAATAGTGATGTAAAAGGAGCAATACCAGTAAGAATGAGCTTTGCCTAAAGTTTATCAAGTGAGTCTATATTGCTGTTGGCAAATGAGTCTTCAAAGCTGATGTTCTTGGAACAGATTTTCCTTTCCAACTGTGACTGAACTTTCTTCTTCAACCTCTATATTTTATTACAAGTAGAAGGAATTCTATAACCCTAGTACACCAAGAAGATGAACTCTGATGCTGTGATATAGAAATAGAAAAATTACCGAAGAACATACATAGTAGAGTCACAACGTTTGTGTAAACCAGTAATTTAAAAAATATTCTTGGGCTGGATAAATGGCTCAGTGGTTGAGAGCTCTTGTTACTATTGCAGAGGACCTGAGTTCAGTTCCCAGCACCCACATGGTGGCCTACAGCTGTCCATAACAACAGTTCCAGGGAATAAGGTGCCCTATTCTGACCTCAGAGGATACTAGGCACACATGTGGTGCACAGACCGACATGCAGACAAAGCACTTATACACATAAAGGACATCTTAAATAAATACAATTATTCTATTTTATTACTTCCTCTCTCCCAATGTGGGGTGTCTGGAGGTCACAGGATAGCTCCTAGAAGCTGATTCTCAAGATCCTCTGTGGAACTTGGCAGTTGAACTCATTGATGCTTTGCTTTGCTCACTGAGCCATCTTGCCCGCTCTGAGAACTAGTGATGTTTTATAAACCTATACTTAGAAGTATTTTATGGGGGGCTGGAGAGATGTCTCAGAGGTTAAGAGCACTGACTGCTCTTCAGAGGTCCTGAGTTCAATTCCCAGCAACCACATGGTGGCTCACAACCATTTGTAATGAGATCTGGTGCCCTCTTCTGGCCTGCAGTCATACATGCTGTATACATAATAAATAAATAAATCTTAAAAAAAAAGTATTTTATGTTTTGTCACCACACTTTAGGTTGTTGTAAAAATGAAAAGTAGTATTCTTCACTAGTTTCTTTCTTTTATCTTGTAGAGGTCTTAGATTCTTTTTATTTTATTTTATTTATTTATTTAACATTTATGGGTGTCTCATCTTCCTGTATTATGTGTCTGTGCACTGTGTGCATGCCTGATGCCCACAGAAGCCAGAAGAGAGTGTCAAATCCCCTAGGACTAGTGTTAAAGCAGGTTGCGAGTTAAAGATAAGTTTAAGCATGTGGGTGCTGGGGATTGAACCCAGTTCCTCTTCGAGAACAGTCAGTGCTCTTAGCTGCTGAGCCATCTCTCCAGCCCCGGTCTTAGATTCTTATTAAAATTAAATAAAAGTAGATATATATTAGAAATTCAACCAATACAGTATTAAAATGTAAAACAAGCCCCACATGGTGCTCTTGCTTGTAATCACAGCTCTCAGGAGGCTGAGATAGGAGGCTCTTATATTCTAGACATGCCTGGGTTACATGACAAGACTTTCAAAACTAAGAAAAAAACAAAGAAACATATTAAGCCACAAATTAATCCTAATATATACCTTGCCAAGAGCTCAATTAATAAATACATAAAAGTTTATTTTCAGTAAATATGCACATTCTAGTTGGCACTAAGTCATTTTTTGAATTTCTGATTTTATCACCCAGAACAGATTTCAGCGATTAAGTGTTTAGTGCTCCGTTGTATGAGACTGACTACATCCAGTGCATCAAAGAAAGCCAACTGTCTCATAAGAAATAAGGTTAAATTACTAAGTTTTGTCAGATTTACTAATTAAACTTTTATCCTTTTCAGGAATTGGGCAAGGTGTTCCTGTGGTGGCTTTGATATTTGAAGGCGGGCCAAATGTCATCCTTACAGTACTGGAGTACCTTCAGGAAAGCCCCCCTGTTCCAGTTGTTGTGTGTGAAGGGACAGGCAGAGCTGCCGATTTACTAGCATATATCCATAAGCAGACAGAAGAAGGAGGGTGAGTGTAGAGTATAGCAGACTTTACAATATATTAGAGTTTTGCAGTTTATGCAGTACTGGACTCCTTTGTCTAATGAACATGAAAATTTCAGATTGAATAAAATACTTTGTTCAGATCTAAGGCAGTAGCTTGTGTCATACACTATTGGAATGAACTAAAGTGTGGTCATCTTTAGAAAACCATGATTGCTTTGGAGACATACCTTTGACCTGATAGTTTAATTTCATGTAATGATTTCTACAGGTGAACACTTGTATAGAATTTCTTGTTGTAGGGTGATTTGTACAAGAAAAAGACATAGTGTAACATCTACCAGAAGAAGCTTAAATAAATACATTTTGGCATATCTGTATAGTGGAATGGTTATAGCTGAATAAAGATGGAACCTGTGTGTTAAATTTCTGAACGTTAGCAGTTAACTTAATGGGCAGAAGATGTATGAGTCTGTTTCCAGAGGAGGAGATACCTGTGCTCGCCTATGGCAGCACATACACCCAAACTGGCATGTGCAGAGAGTAGTGTGCTCTTTATGCCGGGATGACATGGGAACTTGTGAACTTTCACTTTTAAGAAGAAAATTTTAAGAAGCAAAGTAATTACTCAAATTACTGAAAAAGATTTTAGAACATTGTAGGTGGAGTTTTTCTGTATCCTGGCAGCTGCTCCCAAATAATCACAGTAAGATTTATTATTGATTCTAAATGCTCAAGCTAATAGCTCAGGCTTGTTACTAGCTAACTCTTACAATTTTAATTAACCCGTTTATATTAATCTACTTTTTGCCACATGGTTTTACCTCTCTTTCATCTTGCATCTCCTGTTTCATTTCCATGTCTTGCTGGTGACTCCACTGACATCACCCTTCTTTTTCCCATGTCCTTAGTCTGGTTCTCCCATCTAACCTTATCCTGTCCAGCTATTGGCCTGTCAGCTTCTTTATTAAAGCAATCACAGCGAAATATATTCACACAGCGTAAAGGAATATTCCACAGAACATCACATTTGTTGACTTTTGTGATTCCTGAAAAGAACTGAAGTGAAACTAGGCCAACAGAGACTTTGATCATGAACTTGTGCATTTTGATACTTTGAGCTGTGTAAATGTGTCCATGTTGAAGACACCTTGGTAAATTGTTTTATAAGTCATAATATAGAATTATCCTTATGATACCTTGTAAAATCTTGAGTACTAATACTACATCACATACTTTGTTTAAAACATTCACAAAATAATTTGAAGTGAAAATACTCCATTCCTATGCCATAGATTAATATGGGTGTCTCAGGAAGTTACTATTTCGTATTACTATAGAACCTTCAGAAGCCTTGCTTGGGTCTACCTGTGCTTTGTTTTGATCCTACAGAGAAGGTTAAAGTGAAGTAAGTTGTTTTTCTTCTTCTACCAGGAATCTTCCTGATGCAGCAGAGCCTGATATTATATCAACTATCAAAAAAACTTTTAACTTTGGCCAGAGTGAAGCAGTTCATTTATTTCAAACATTGATGGAGTGCATGAAAAAAAAAGAGCTTGTGAGTAGATTTCAGCAAAATAAATATTTTATTTCTTTTAAAGCACGTCTGATTCATACAATATATAACTTTTTAGTTTGTGTTTTAAGTTTTTAAAGCTGTTCTGTCATTTACTTATTGATCTCCAGCTGAGTGATGGCATCTAAAGACTAATTTTCATATAGTGTTGAGACATTGTATTTATTCTTCTAAAGGAGTTTTCATAACTGAGTCTCCACTGACTATGCTTAGTATTTAAGAAGACTGCAGAGGAATAAGCAGCATGGCTCCGTGGCTATAGGTGCTTGCCATCAAACCTGATGACCTGAATTTGTAACTTACCTGGTGTAAAGAGAACCACCTATTGCTAATTGCCCTTTGCCTTTATGTGGATGCTGTGTGCAAACCACACATACACCCCCACCCCACACCCCTGCACACACGTCCACAAAGGAGAAGAAGACCTATAGGTGCTAGTGGCTTCTCTAACAGATGTCTGGGAAAGTATTTCAAGCCTTTTCCTCTGTTGAAGACTACTAGACTAAAGGTCTGTGTGCTTCGTGTCATACATGTAAACATAGGCTTATTTTCAGAGATAAAATTATAAGTTTTGTAAGTAAATAGGAACATAGAATTGCTGTCACTTCTTGGTCTTTGGCTTTGATCACGTGTTGATGTGCATTGTGTTTCATTGCAGGCTTTGTTCTACATGAAATGAAGGTAGTTGAACACTTTGTACTTGTGTAGTAATTACCTTTTACT